TTAGAAATAAATGTTTTCATTTATTTCAGCTTAATGTCACAGTTCTTCAATGACCATCAAATAACAGACAATGGTCCATTCTAGTGGCATTTTTACCTGACTGCATCATGGCAGGGACACCTCACACTAAACCATCTCACCCAAGGCTCTGTCCAACCTGGCCTTGAACACCGCCAGGGATGGAGCATTCACAACCTCCCTGGGCAACCCATGCCAGTGCCTCACCACCCTCACAGTAAAGAACTTCGTCCTTACATCTAACCTGAACTTCCCCTGTTCAAGTTTAAATCTGTTTCCCCTTGTGCCCAGTCCCTGATGAAGAGTCTCTCTCCAGCATCCTTGTAGGCCCCCTTCAGATACTGAAAGGCTGCTATGAGGTCTCCACACAGCCTTCTCCTCTCCAGGCTGAACAGCCCCAACTTTCATTTGCTCCAGTCCCCTGATCATCCTCACGGCCCTCCTCTGGACCTCTTTTTTTTTTTTTTTTTTTTCTCTTTTTCTCTTTTTCTTTCTCTCTGTTTCTTCTTTTCCTGTCACTCTGAAAGAACATGAACTATTGGATACAGATTAAAGAAAAATGTTGAGCAATTCCTTCCTTCTCAAAATAAACACAAAGTTAATATATACAATAATAGAGACTTTATATGTAGATTTCTGTCACCCACAGCCACTTCTGTCACCTGGATCATTGCCACCATTGTTGCTGGCTTGGGATTTATATTCAGTATTGAAGGAATCCTGTGGTTATGATTTGAAATACAATTCCAAAAACACTGTGGAGTCATTGCTAGTTATATGGGGTCAAATTCACTCTGGGTGAATTATCTCTTACAAAAGCAGCGGTGTTGGAGCAAGAGTCGTTATGAGCCAGGCCATTATGGATATTCTGATGAGAATGACTGAAGGATACAGAACCTCCCGTATACTTGATTGAGCAGATTGAAGTGTTTCAGTGTGTTTGATGACAAGAGAGGCTGATTATTTCCACCCAGCCATAGCCATGTTTTAGGTGGCAGTCCTCCTACTCACTCTGCCCGTATTTTGCTGATTACTAACGTGCATTGTCATTCCCCTTTGGTCTGCAGAATCTGACAGCAGCACTCATGTTCTCCCTCCCCAGCAGGAGGTTTACTACAGCTTCTGCCACACAGCTCAAGACTTGTGTACTGAATACTGGCCTTGTGCAGGTAAATGCATATTTCAAGGGAGCCCTTTAGTCTCAAATGCTTTGAGGTACCCTCAGTCCTAACAGCCTGTGTCTGTACAGAACAGCAGTGTTCACTGCTGCAATTTCACACCAAAGTTTGCTGTCATAAAGGCTCACTTGTGCCCCTTTTGACTGCAAAACAGTGTTTAAGATGCTTGAAACATGGAGCACAGCTGTCAGTCATGGCTCTGCAAAGGCCTTCATCCCTTCACATGGCTGATGTTCTGTTAACCAGTGAATCCGGTAGCTACAGAACATACTTCTTCCCAATGAAAGCAACTTGGCCAGGAGCAGTGGCTGAAGGAGGAAGGTCTCTGGCCTCTCCCAGTCTCCCTCTTCTCTCCCATTACCACTGCAGTTCTTGCCACCACCAGGACCTGATCAACCAGCACAGGTAAGGCCCCTGCTGCCTGATGCCCCTGGCTGGCAGAAAGCTCCAGAAGAGGATGGAGATTCAGAGTCTTGTTCAGAAACCCCAGGCTGCCATAGCAGCTCCAGCTCTAGTCCAACCAGTCCATGTCTCCCTGCCTGTCCCTGCCAGCACTGAGCACATACATAGTCCCTGTTTGGCTGAAGCTTCACCAACCCCACATCCACAGCACCCTTGTGGAATCACCACTGCCTCAAGAGCCAACAGCAGGCAGAGCCCCTTCTTGTCCTGAAGAGAAGGCCCCAGGTCCATTGCCTCCTGCCACCTCAGAACCACGCTGCAGGCACTGGGGTGGGTGGTGGCTGCCAGCCTGTGATGTAGAGGCAGATAATATTTCTCCTGGCATCTTCTGCTGCACAGGTGATGCAGGAGAAGGTGGACCTTGGCAAGGGTGCTATCACACACTGCAAACACATGATGGGGTGTAAAGATGGTGTTAATTCAACCCCTTTCTTCTAACCCTGGCCTTGCCCTGGCAGTGTCTGCCCTCATCTGGCTCTGCTCCACTGCCATTTGCAGCCCATTTGGGACATTCTTCCTGACTGCTGCCTTGTATCATAGAATCGCAGAATAGTCAGGGTTGGAAAGGACCTTAAGATCATCAAGTTCCAACCCCCCTGCCATGGGCAGGGACACCTCACAGTAAGCCATGTCACTCAAGGCTCTGTCCACCCTGGCCTTGAACACTCAGCTATTGTAACTTGTCCTGAGTAAAACTGGAATGGGTTTGTCATTACACAGCCCATCCTGCCACGGAAGAGCTATGGAGCTGCCATCTCCTGCTGAAATCTTGCCTTCATTTGATCCTGGAGCCTTACTGCTTTCTTGCAAGCCTGGCTTTGTGCGGTGCTCATCACAATCAAGCTTTCTGGGGCATTGCAGTCATATAAATAAAAGATTATGCCACAGGTAAATTTCCCCAGTAAACCCATGATTTATGCATGGGGCAGTTTACTCAGTGTTGCAGCTCAAGAAGCAAATGAGACTAAGGAGGGTGTCTGAATGTAAAGCAGTAAAATCTTTGAGAGAAGAAGAATGATTTTTGTGAAATATGAAAGTTTAATTTTATCCTTGAAATATCAGGTTTGTGCTCTGAATTCCCTGTGCAACTTCATGTGACCTGTTGGCCTTTAGCCTTTTGCTTAAAGTACAGTTGGTCACATGGGAGAGATGTGCTGAGGATACATGGATATTTCTGGGGATCATTGGCATGTAAAAGCATGGAGGTGTGCTTTCACCTGAAACCATCCCTACAGGCATTCAATCATGTTGAAAATCTGGCACAATGGTGCACATTTAGAGCAGCTTTGTGGGTGTTTTGTATTTAAGCTTTAACCTGGTTAAAGTTTTGTGTTAACTTTAACCTGGTTTTCATGCTTTCTTTTCATACTAAAATGTCATTGTAGAAAGAATATGAACTAATTTCTTTAAAAGGCAGGAAAAATGGTAGGCAGAGGAAAGAGGTTTTGAAAGAAATCAAAAGTACACAAATTCTAGCATGTTCACATCTAAACTAGATAGATTTTAAGAGTTACTTCTCCTCATACTTGGAAAATAAAATTAAGCCTTTTATTTTATTTCCAAATAACCCTCAGCTAATGGGAACAAAAGCCTTTGTCAGCTCTTTGCAAGTGCTCAGAATCCAGGAGCTACCTGTGGGTCGCACACTCTTGCAGTGCATGTTTGTGGTGCCTGAGAGTGATACTGGCTGGACACCTAACCAACAACTAGCCTTCAGCATTGTCAAGAGAGCCAAAGTGATCTAAGAAACAAGGTGATTGTCTCCGAGTTGAAGCCTATGACCCTAAAAGAAATAACTAATTTGAAAATATTTTCCTAGAAAAGTAAATGCAGGCACCTGTATTTGACTGCAGTCCCACTGTGTAATTGCGGAAGCTGACTCATGGGTTTTGCTTTTGCCACCTAAACCCAGTAACTGGAGAACAAACCTGGTCAAGCTGGTGTTCTGGCTTGCTGACTAGCAGGGCTGGTTTTGATCCATGGCCTCTGGTATTTGGATTGTTTGCTTTCCCCTCTCTTAATCTCTGTGGGGAGGCTTTTCCTCACTATTTAAATATTAAATACTCGCCGTACTGGAATGTTGCAGTGTACTGCATACAAAGAGAGATGTAAGGGCTCAGTATTTTCAGTGCAAACCAGTTTTGAGTTCTATCTCAGAAGGCCTTTGTTCATTTGCTCTGAGGATACACAAATCTCTTTTGCTAGGGATTTTACATGTATTTGAGCACCAAGGTCCCAATAAGCACTGACATCCATCAGAATCCTTTAGGCACATGAACTGCAGCTGAAGCTTCCCTTTTCTGTCAGCAGTGTCAGGACAGACAGCAGCAGCGAGTGTAAGACAACAACTTTCTGCGATATTGATGTCTAAATACAGTTCATATTAACAGGCTCCAGACTGAAGTCTGCCGCTTTCAGTCTATCAGATTTTTCCTCCCAAGGCATTGCAATGCCTAACTAGAACCACAGCATCATTCCATTCTTCAAACCATTGTATTGAAAAAAATCAATCTTATCCTAATCTTCCTTTGTAAAATTTCAGGTGCTGACTATTCACTACACATGTAGCTCACCTTATTCTTGGCTGATACTACACACCAGCTCTAATCCCCTGATAAATTGTCTTGTTATAATTTTCCTTTTCTCTCCCTTTTGCAGGCTGGTTACTTCCTAAGCAATGGAGGCACTTAACAAAGATAATGGTACGATGATCTTGGTATGATGGGGAATAACAAAGTTTATAGTCATTTAGTTGCTTCTTTTGGGAAGGTATATTCTCTTCAGAGAAACACCATTCCCCTGGTAAAGCACTGAGCCCGCTTCTGAAATACAACTCCCCTATGCTCCTGTACACTGTAACCAAGATTAGCAACAACACTGAGTGGGGTACAGGCATATCCCTGGCAGAAGTATCTTACATCCCCAGACAAACCTCACAATTCTTACTATATAGATACAAACAGAAAATCAAGCATCTAATAAGGAGTTAAAAATCCAGAGAGTTAGTAATTTGCTTTTATTGCTTCTCTGATTCTGTGCACTGCATACACCTTCTACAGTTTTTTTCAATGTTTATCTACTTTGCACTGAAACAGCAGAGGAAGGGCAAAGGGAGGAAGTTAAAAGTTACCACTCCGTAGTAACTAACTTTACAGATTTAGGTATCATGTTAGTTAACTGAAAAAAGGCCTCTAATCTAGAACCAATGTGACAATGCAGACAGGAGTTTTAAATAAATTTTACAGTAAAGTGCATAATAAAATACAGTTAACTATCCTAACAGTGCTTACCAGTCAATTGTTTTACTGCTTGTTTTACTATTTTTTTACTATTTTACTGCTTTCATCTTTATTTTGTTGCTAATTTTGTAGTGTCAGATGGTACATGCATTACGTAGAAAGTATGTACACGTGCAATATCCTGGAGCAGACACTGTCAGAATCTTCTATACAGCTGCAGTTGACGGCTACCTGAGGCACTGTGCTACTGCTGGGAGGCTGTCGCCGCGTGTGCCAAAGGGGAGGAGATACACTGCTGAACGCTCTATAATAACACAGAGAATAATGAGGGGTTGGTATTACAGCATACAATGTCATTCACACACATTACTGGGTGAATATCTACACTTCATGTTGATGTTCTGAAGCTAGGAGAGCTGAAGCAGGTTGCTCTCTTGGTGAAGTAAAAATTTCAAATCTCCTTGCTTCTCCTAGCAGAAGATTTGATGAAAATCTCAGTCAGCTATACTTTTTCTGCATCTGGGAACTTGTATGACAATAGTTTACTCTTATCAGCAAGAAGAATTGCAGGCCAGTGCCTGGGATCTGAAAGTGTATGTACAGCTGTACACGAGTACATACGTTTACTGCACATTGAGTTTAAACGCCCAAATATATACTTGTAGGGAACAAAGGGGATTAAAATGTCCATTAGAAAACTTACACTTCCAAAGACTGGACAGCCTGAGTAATGTCTACTGTTTGTATCTTATTCATGAATCAAAGATCTTGTAGATGAAGAATTAGAAGGAGAAAGCTTTTGTCACAGACCAGCCAGCCAGGAAGTCTGACTACTGAAAGCCAGGAAAATGCACTGGTGAGGGAACAGCTCTTTTTTAAGTAGGACAGGGTATGAAGAAAGCTGGGAAATGTTTCAGTAAAACACAGATCCGATAAAGGTAGCTGTGTTACACTAATTGATGAAAAATAGAAAATTCACAAGTTGCTTAGCCATAACAATTACATTTAAAAGACAGGAGGCAGGGGAGATGAAGCTGAGGTTCTAAATCACACCTAATACTAGGATTCACAAGACAAGAGGTAATTATATGCTGTGTTCTTTTTACAGTCCCACTTCAAACAAGGCAATCATTTTGAATGTAGGAGCCTGGATTCTTTCCATTTTTTTTTTAGTCTCAAACTCAGTAAGTGGCAAAAGCCTTCTGTATAAAGAGAACTTTCTCTAGCAGTTTTGGTAACAGTTTATCCAGTAAATGAAATATGTGAAAGTATATAAAGTATGAAGTTTAGAGTCATCTATTTTTTTTCCTTGGTACAAATATATAGTAAAAGAGGAGACTGATAATACAGAATTATAAATACTAACTCCTGCATTATAAACTGAACTTTGAAGTGTAAATTTTACACTTCAGACACTAATCTGCTGATTCAGCTCTTTATGTTCTAAATATCATGACTATTTTGTTTCACATTGACATGTATGAAATAAAATACAAACGGTAATTGAAGAAAGGTAATACCTGTCACTTACGGAACATGGCATATCTGCAGGTCAAAGTCAAAATTCACTGTATTACCAATTATCTTATACACCACCATGCACCACTCCCCATTTCCTCTCTACATTATTAAGAAATACAAATTAATTATGAGCTATATATAGTTTAAATGGACCATGCTAAGTTATTATTGCTTAGAAGTTCTTGGAACTTCTGGGACTTTGCAAGTGTCTTCAAATTCCAAAAGGAAAATGAAGCCAGAGCATGAGGCAGTTTGATAGAAACCTAATGTCTGCTTACAGTATTACAAAGCTCATACGTGTTTGGTTTCTTTTGTAGAGTAAATATAAATATCAAATTGTCAGTCCAATCAGCAGATTGAAGTCAATATTTTCAATTATATTTTTATTATGAAATAAGCCAAGAAGTCAGTTTGTAGGAATGAAAGCTGAACATACTTAAATTAGATACTTACTAAAGGGGTGATTATCTGCAAAATATTTGAAGCAGATAGGTTTCTAGTAATGGCTTCTTGAACATCTAAAAATAGCATAAAAGTAAATAATAAATATTACGTAAACCAAATATACAATAGAAATACGATTCACAGTCAAATATTCAACACAAAATTTCCCAAACATTGTCAAAATGGAGCTTAACAGCACTATTCCTTTTTCCCCTACCAACAGTTGCTGAAGTATAAGCTGTGTCTGCATTTTTAAGATTTGCAGCTAGATATTATTATCTGAACATAAAATTTAGTGTCAGTAAAAAGAAATCTAAAGCTAGAGAAAAGAATGGCAGCCACCCTAAGCTGGCAGCAAAAATTCCAGACTTAGACTGGTAGATGAGTAACTGTTATTCATTAAAAGGACCGTTATTAAGGTACACAATTTTCGCCACTTAATTCATAATGTGAAAACAAGCCAAAAATTGGGGTTCAAAAAGGTTGTGGTTTAAAAAAGTAATGTGCTTACATGACATGAAAGTACTTACACCACTTTACTTACTAACAGGTATGTACTTACATGTACTTACATGTCCTGTAAGTCTACCTATAAAATTTCCCAGCTTCTTACTACCAATTTTAATCCCTGAATAATTAAGAAAGCTAATTAAACTTATGAGTTACACTTTTTTATATATATGTATTACATTCATTTTCACAGTTCATTTGCAATCAGTTAACTCCAATGATTCTTTCACTGTTTCATGTTCTTTACAGTTTTCATAGTTTTCACACTTTGCAAACTCCGGCTTTCTTCCAGTTCTTTTGCTACATTTACCTTTGCTTCTATTTATTTCTCATTTCTCTGTTATTTATACAACAATTTGTTTTCTGTTTTCTTGTATTTCTCTTTTCATATCTACTTTCTTAACCCAAGCACATCATACAACTCCTCAATGACAAAAGACAGAATTCTTCACTTCTATTTGCCTGGAAGCAATAACTATGAGCTATGATGTAATGAAATTCTGAGCCACTTTGATGGGAGCAGGAATTGTAAGCTACAGCTGCAGAAAGTTTTTAAGCAGCTGCAAAAACCTTTTACTCTGCTGTTGCAGTTTACAGGAAACTGAAACCCTTTTCCTCAAAGTCAAGCAATCCACCATTTGATGTAGAAATGTATGGATAGTGTGCAGAATCTTAATAAGCCCTGGTTTAGTTTGACTCTAGTCAATAAGGGGGTAAACTTGGGTAACCTGGTCATGAAATGGTGCAGCTTAGAAGGAAAAGTAATAGAATAATAAAATCAATGGACTTCAAGAAAGCAGACTCTTATAAATTCCAATAATTGGCATGTAAAATTTCATATGAAAATAGTTCAAGGAAAATGTAAAACTCAGAAGAGTTGGCAGTTCCATAAACTGCAGAAATGGCAAGCAGAAGTTATTCCAAGGATATGGGAAGCCAAGCAGTCCAGTGGAGAGACCACATGGACTAAGTCACAAGGTCCCCCTGATTTCAAATACAGGATGGAACACAGAAATACAGAAACTATGTCAAACCAATTACAGTGTTTGTCAAAGACCCATATGATCATGTAGATCAAAGCAAATATTAACCATTAGATAGAGAAGCAAAAGATGATAGAAGTTTGTTCTATGGGTATGGTAGTTACAATTGGAATACAAATGAAATGTTAGCTAACTAAGCAATGGAGAGAAGTAACTATCAAGAACAAGTACAGGCTTTCCCCCATACCCTTCAGCGAAATGAAAGCTGTGATAGGGACACCTCATGTAAAAAGCACCAGAATAGAGCAGGTAAGAAAATCAGCCTGGCAAAGGGAAAGAACAGGCTGGAGAACACTTTGGTTAAGTTTGACTTTTTAAAATAGTTAAGCAAGTGATATTCATTTAAACATGCAGATTTGGCTTCAGCAATCTCAGAACTCAGTATCTGTTATCTTTAAGAATTCACAGAGAAGATGAACATTCTAAAAACTGGAAGAAAGAAAATGAAAATCCATTCATTATAAAGGGTACATTTGCAAAAAGACAAGATACAGAATATAAAGGACAATTATTTGCAAAAATAATTGGAAAAAAAAGAAAGACAGATGAGTATTGGAACAGATTCCCAAGTGAAGCTGATACATCTGAAAAATATTTAAAGAACAATTTTGACAAACATCTGTTAGTAACAACAGCTACAGTTGGGCTAAGCCATTTTCTGAAGGTGTCCTCCAGTCACATTTTGAATAGGTTTTTTGACCATGACAAAGTCACCATTATTTTAAAATAATTTAATTTACTTTAAGAAAGGTTTAATGACTTTGATCTACTGTTTGCTGCATTTAATAACAATAATAATAACAATAAGAAAATAGAGGAAAAAATTCTATCACAGGATTCATGTTTTCAATTCAAATTAATCTATGACAACAAAATATAAAATTACTTAATTGCTTGATGCAAGATCCTCTTTATTATCAAACTTACTTTGTAGCCTTTGATTGAGACAATCAAGAGACTGCAAAATCCTCATTTCTTCTACTGAAAGTGCACTCATGCCTGGACACGGAGCCCTGTTAGGCAATAAGGACCAGCTGGCTGGTTGCACACTTCCCAAGGCTGCCAGGATTTCATCCTCTGCAAGAGGTCCACTTGCTAGTTTTTCTGCCATGAGAAACTGAATGGTGCTCTCTGAAACTGAAGAGATTACAGGGGTAACTTCAAACAAGAAGAGCTCATGATTTTTAAATATACTGCTTGCTTTCATTACTATAGGTTTGTGAAACACACAACATTCACATTAAAAGATCAAAAAGGTGGCAAAGCCAAGAAGCATGATATGTTAGAAAATTACATAATTAAGATCAGTCATGCACCTTACAATTGGCACTGGAACAAGTTCTACTGACTTCAGAAATACGTAATGATAGCAAGCAATAACTGTCCATCTTGTACAGTTACATGTGATACATACAGCTGTGATACAGGTAAATACAAACAGGAATGGAATGAAATTTGAGCATATGTTGAAATACATTTATAAAACCATCCATGTAATGACACATGATGCCATATATTACATTTCCACTAAAAAAAAAAAAAAAAAGTCTAGACAACAAACTACCCTTTCTTAGCATCACTGAGAGGCTCAAGAGGAGGGCCAGTGCAAACCTCATGAAGTTCAACAAGGCCAACTGCAAAGTCCCTGCACCTGGGTCAGGGCAATCCCAAGCACCAATACAGACTGGGTAAAGGATGGATTGAGAACAGCCCAAGGATTTGGGGGTGCTGGTTGATAAGAAGCTCAGTATGAGCCAGGTGTGTGCTCTCACAGACCAGAAACCAAGTGTATCTTGGGCTGCATCAAAAGGAGCATGACCAGCAGAGAGGTGATTCTCTCCATCTGCTCCTCTCTGGTGAGGCCCCACCTGCAGCCCTGCATCCAGCTCTGGGATCCCTAATACCAGAAGGACATGGATTTCCTGGAGTGAGTCCAGAGGAGGCCACAAAGATGATCAGAGGGCTGGAGCACCTCTTCTATGAAATCAGACTGAGAGAGTTGGGCTTGTTCAGACTGGAAAAGAGAAGGCTCCAGAGAGATCTTATAACAGTCTTCCAGTACCTTATGGAGACCTACAAAAAAGCTGGAGAGAGACTTCTTACAGGGGCATGTAGTGACAGGATAAGGAGGAATGGCTTTAAGCTGACAGATTTAGACTAGACATCAGGAAGAAATTCTTTACTGTAAGGGTGGTGAGGCTCTGTCACAGGTTGCACAGAGAATCTATGGCTGCCCTATCCCTGGCAGTGCTCAAGGCCAGGCTGGACAAGGCTTGGAGAAACCTTGTTTAGTGGAAGGTATCCCTACCCGTAGCAGGGGATTGGAACTGGATGAGCTTTAAGGTCCCTTCCAACCCAAACCATTCTTTGATTCTGTGATATACCAAAAGAGACAAGTGATGTTACACAGTGGATATATTATATCACTACTTTATGTATACAAAGAATTGAAGTGAGATGTGTTACTATACCTTCATCAGACTTGTAGGTGTTATTCCTGGTTTGTACTGGATCAAATGTAGATTGATCAGGACTCACCTGGACAGTACAGAGCAAATTCTATTAAAAATATAATAATATTTCAAGTATAATTTAATGTAACTATACTGCTTTCTGAACATTTTTGTTTATTATTTCATATTATTAATTGTTTTCAAGTGCAAAAATATTAGTATATACTAATATAGTGATGTATTCTAGTTGGTTTTACTCTTTCCATTAGCAGTGACAGCAAGTTGACCAAACACATTGATTCAAAATTGTGTGACACTGAACAAATCTTTGATATTCCTGAAATTCTTTCCTTTTCCAAGATAAATAAGCTTTTTATTTTTTATCATATTTAATATTTACCTGTACATGATGAGTAGGTTTCCATCTTTTAGAGGCTGTACTTTGGCTTCTGTATTCTGGAAAACCTCTATGTTTATTTTCATGGTTGTCAAAAACCTGCTTTTTTCTTGTAACAGGAGTGACACCTTAAATGACATGCATACAAAAGAAACCCAAAAATATGTAAAAACATGATAAAGATAGGAGTAGCAAAACTAATAATGATGAGTAAACATCTCTGTCCAAATTTAGATGTTTAGCTTGAGTATGTTTACCTTTGATCTCACTAAATGTATTTTCTTACAGTGAAGAGACAAACAGGCACTTCTAAGGTATATTTAATTTCAGTTAGCATAGGACTACATGATACAGATGTGAATTATATGTGAACATTTATAAGCAGGTTAAGTGAAGGCCAGTGTTGAATCCCAGATAACAAAGATGGTCTGTGCAAAAATACAAGGTGGTCTTGCCAAGTAAAAGGAAGAAAGAACAGTGAACTGTGATATAACAAATATCGAATAATGTCCCAAACCCTGATGTTTTAGAAAATAAGTTGCATTTAGAGTATAGTCATGAAGTCTAAAGTCCAACATTGCCAAGTTGCTATATTGTATACCATAATAGATTCAACGTTTGTTAAGATTACACTGTGCAGAAAACATGTACTAGTTCACACAGTTTATTTGATTCACGGAATCACTGAATGGTTGAGGTTTGAAGGGACTTCTGGAGGTCATCTGGTCCAACCCCCCTGCTCAAACAAGGCCACCTAGAGCTAGTTGCCTAGGACCAGCTTTTGAGCATCTCCAAGGATGGAGACTCCACAACCAATCTGGTCAACCCTCTCCCAGTGCTTGGTCATGATTATAGTAAAAAACGTGCTTCCTGATGTTCAGAGGGAACCTCCTGTGTTTCAGTTTGTGCCATTTGCCTCTGGTCTATTCAGTGGGCACCACTGAAAAGAGGCTGGCTCTGTTCTCTTTGTACCTTCTTTTCGTGGTACCTTCTTTTCGATATTTATGGACTTTGATAAGATCCCCCTGAGCCTTCTCTTCTCTGGCTGAACAGGCCCAGATCTCAGCCTTTCCTCCTAGAAAAGATGCTCCAGTCCCTTCTTGATCTCTGTGGTCCTTCACCTGACACTTTCTGGTCTGTCCATATCTCTCTCATACTGAGGAGCCCAGAACTGGACTCAGTCCTCAAGGTGTGGCCTCACAGGTGTGATATGAATGCAAAGTCGCAGTTTAAAACCTTAGTTTCTACATTTTGGGATTCTACAGTTAATCTCGCTAATTTATGCATCTCTGTACTAATTTTCAAGACAGCGCTGCTGTGTTGCATTTTCCCTTGGGTATAGAGGCCTATCCTAGACACTATACCTCGCTTTTGTCTGGTATAATAATACATTTTTCAAAATTAAAGCCTCAAGTTTCAAAATCAAAAGTAATTTCTTAATTAAACTTTCATGGATATAAATTGAGATGCAAATCGGCATTTTCGTATGCAAGTCGGGAATCCACATATCCAAGATGTTATATTCTCATTTGTAAACTCAGTTCAGTTACTTGATTTGTAAATGCAGTTACAAGATTTATACTTGGGAAGATAAATTATCTATTTGTTTACATAATATATATTTAGATGAGCAGTTTAATGTACAGTTCATAATTAGATCAAGAGGTCTATTAGTGATTTTAACAGAATTTTATTTCTCTAGTTGTTATTTTGGTGCTATTTAATAAAGCAGAATTCTTACTATTTGCAGAAAAAAGAAAACAATTGCTTGATCCTGGAATCAGATTTGAAACTAGTCATATGGCTGCTGCCATCAGTGAGAACATGGGACACACTAGCTTTAAAAGGTTGACATTAGTTATATGTGAACTATTGTAATGTGACACATGGTTCTGAATAGCACCTGGAAAGAAATGTGATCACGTTATATTGAATATAGGGGAAATTTTAAAAGAAGCAAAAAAGAAACTTCTGCCTTTCACTACAAGAGAGATATTGAGATGCTGGAGTGGGTCCAAAGAAGGGCAACAGATCTGGTGAAGGGTCTGGAAAACAAGTCTGATGAGGAGCAGCTGAGGGAACTGGGGTTGTTCAGCCTGGAGAAAAGGAAGCTCAGGAGAGACCTTGTCACTCGCTACAACTACCTGAAAAAAGGTGTTCAAAAATGTGTAGATGAGGCCCTTAGTGGCATGGTTTATGGTGGCCTTGGCCCCATGGGATAAAAGTTGGACTTGATCTTAGGTCTTCTCCAATCTCGCTGATTCTATGATTCTTATATTAATAATCACATGTTTTTCTGAAAAATAAAAGTTGCTCTATTGATATGCATCAACACCTAATTTAAGTCGATTGCAAGACATGATAGACCTTTGCCAAGGAAAAGACTCCTTTGAGAAATGTAAGACAGAAATATAATAAGCAATAATATCTTGAAGTGCATGAAATACTGAGCATTCTATACTTGTTTAACTAGAAATACGTGAATTGGTCTGATATTTGTTACAATGTAAATGTTGAATACACTTTTTAAAGCATTTTACTGACTGAACACCAAAGGATATTAAAAATAATAAAAAAGGATAAAAAAAATAGCATCCAGATACAGTATGTGTCAGCAAGAAGATACACAACTTAAAGCCCAATTAAAGAAGATTCTCGTGGATGACAATTTTATTTATTCATCCTGTTCTGACCTTTTCTTTCTGTACATGTGTCCAAGCATTGCAACAGATCACATTTTCTACAGGGTCCTCACAGACCTCACCGAACTCTGTAACAGTGCCACAGCAGGTATTTTACTCAAGAACAGTGCAGCATTCAAGCTTTTATGGCAAGCACTTTAGGGCAACTACTATGGTGATCTATGTGCATTTGCAGGCAATGGGACAAATAATAGCAAGTCATTAAGAGTTATTAGCATATTTAAAATAAAGAAGACTTTCAAAATGAAATCTAAGCAGATACTGAGTGAGGGCTCCCCATCCAAATCTTAAAAAGAGGTTACTCTTCCTCTAAAAGAGCTGGAGCTGTGTGACACTGGGGATGTAGCATTTTAAGTTGCAGTGAAGACAGTATTTGTAGGGCCCACAACTTTGACCCAGTACCTTTCCTGATTCATTTATCTGATGTGCAAATAAGGACATCAAGAGGCAAGCACCTCTGCTGGAGGCAAGGTGTGGTAATTCAAGACTCCATTCATTTCCAATGTAAAATCAAATACTTTAACTGGAGCCCCACATATCTTAAGCTCATCTGTTTGACTTTGAACTGGAATGGACAAGCAGATAACATTTCTCGTTTCCCACCCCTGCTTTAGGCCAAGAATATTTACCTGCGTATGCTCTTAACAACGGAGCTGTTTTGAATTGCTCCATACTTAAAACTATGTATTACTGTAGATAAAATTTAGGTTTTGTTTTGATTTTTTTTTTTTTTTTAAGTTATGGGAATTATTCACTTTTGCTAGAAAGTATCTTTGAGCTGCATGGCCAGACCTTGGGGTGATCCCAGTAGATGAAGTGGTTTAGAAAGCTGCTTTACCCTGAAGCAGGGTCTACTGCCCTGAGGAGCTCTGCCTCCAGCTGCAGCCCTCAGAAGGAAGCAAACCACCACACAATATTCAAATTACAAGCACAAGGATGCCATCAGTGCCCAAGGCACAGAATACAGCCAGGCTGCAGAGAAGAAACAAGGCAAATCAAAAAGCATGAAACCTATTTAGAATTGTAAACCCCAGGAGATTAAAGTTTATTCTTCCCAAATTTCTTCTGCTTCTTTCCTCTATCTCACCAATCAATCTCTGCATCATATTGTTCCCAAGATTAGCTTTTAATAAAAGGCAAGACTGGTCCTCAGTTTTCTTGCAGTTCTTTATGAATCAGACATACTTTGTAGCAGAGCAAAATTAATCTGTTAGAAGCTCCTTATTTTTAATTTACTTTTTTTTTTTTTAGCATTAGTTGTGTTATTAGGACCAAAACATAGTCATTTTAGGCATTTACACTGTCAGCATTTGAAAAACATGGCAGATATGCGCTTCTCTCACTCTCGTATCAGTGACCATTGGACAAGAAGCTACAACTCTCAGCTACCTTGTAAAACTTGCTCATAAACTTAGTCACTTCCTTCTATATAATTACTTAGAGCACCTGTCACATCTGCTCATTAGTCAGGAATATAATCTCAGGGAAAATACTTCCTTTTCATTTAATATTGTAGAAAGCTATTAAAAAAAGATACTGATGTTTGAGAGGCCTCTGGGCACCTCTAGAACAGAAATAACAATGACAAATGGTGAAAACTTGTTAAAAGTGCCTATATTGTGTGAATGGATGAAAGGCTGGATGCTTTAACTGAAAACAAACTCGTGATGTAACTGAAATAGACTTTTGTCTGAACATACCCCCTCCCCAGACCCAGAAACATGACTCTTACCAGTAGCAGAGCCTTTTGGATCTTGGGCACTATGTACTCCTTGCCGGGAGGTACTTGTTTTTCCAGCTGCTGGGATATGATGGCGATGTAATCCACTTTCTGTGTTAACAGGTCTTCTTCCAGTGCAGGTTATTGAATGATCCTGACAGGCGCTCATCTGAACACTCTTTGCAGAACAAGTATTTTTTTCCCAAGGTCCGTGCTTGGCCACGCTGCAGCCCGGTGTAAAAATCACAGTGGACAAGTCAGAATGACAAGTAATACTCTGACTGTATTCTGTACCGTTTCTATTTAAAACCTGATCTGCTAACACAACATACCTTTCATTTAAATCATTCCTGCTTGTAGCGGTTGCTGGAAGACTTGAAGGCAGGAGTGGCTGACACCCAGGGCTGGCTGCATTTTCACCACTTCTGCTTCTTGGCAGAGGTATGGATGGTGGGTGAGGTGCTAGGAATTTCCCTGGAGATTTTCGAGTTTTGTTGGTTTCTGCAGCCAACTGTGCTTGGATTATAGTGCCTGTTTTCTTCTCAGTCATAAATCTTGGCTGGGGTCTTGCAGAGATTGTTTTTCTAGCTATTTCTGCCCTATTTTTCAGCTGACTACCTTCATTAATTTTAGAATTATTACCATGTACTGCTGGTTTACTTTCTTCATCATTTGATACCATCCAGGCTTTTTTTGCAGAAACAGATCCAGTAGACATAAACATATTCAGAGATGTGCATTCTCTATTTGATTCTTCAGTATTAACGTTTGGTTTTGATATATGAGAGTTTTCCTGGTGATTTTTTATGAACATCGGGTTTGAAGGTTGAGCAACAATACTTAAATTAATCTTAGGAGCATTATTTATAGCTTGAACATATTGCAGCTGTGCAGAAGATATTTCACTGGTGTTTTCTTCATAGCATTTTTCATTATTTTCTATTCTTATCTGGTTAATTTGATCACACCATTTGATTTTTCTATTGTATTTGTTGTTTTCTGCACTTTTCTTTTTAATTTTTGCCAGTTCTATACTGTCTCTGATAGAAGACATGGGCTGTGTTCCAAAACTGATCCCGTGGTTCATAACCACAGCTTTGAAATGACTGGGTTCATATTTACAATCCTTCTTTAAGATACTACCAAGAAACTTTTCTCTTTCTCTTTCAAGAATATTGTTTTTCAGGTTTTTGTGCTGTGCAGGAGTGCCAGATCTGAACTCTGTATCAGACAGCAGTGACATAGTTTCAATCATATTTCCATTTTCTTCCTCTTTGTTATTCTGTTGTTTAACATCACACAGAACTGAGGCATTTGGTATGTCCTGAAATAAAGATGATCCTGGATTAATGTAATCAATACCTTTAATATTTTCTTCCTTTGTTACAGTAATTTTTCCTGAGGTATATTTTAGAAACTCCATACTGATGTTTTTGTCCTTTGGTAATGTATCAGCTGTGCTGGGAATGCCAGTGGAACATCCCTGATTAGGAAATGAGATTTTAGATGTTGCAATAGGTTGACTAGAGGTTTGCACAGATGCATTTCTTTTTTGTGGGGTCATTTTAAAACTCTGATCTTGCATCAGATCCTGAACTCCTTCTCCTGGAATAGACTCAGGGCTGGCCCAGGTTTTGCTGGGATTCAAAACAGCATGACAAGTGGCTAATGTGTAAGTGGTTCCAGAAGATGGCTTGCTTCTTTCTTCTTTTATATTTTGCAGAAAACTAAACACATTGCTTACAGAGATTTCTTGCTTACCAGAGGTAGAGAACTCTGCAGTATTTTTTCCAGATCTGTCAGAAGCAGTTGATTCCTCCTCTGAAGTGTTTACATGTTCAGCAGGAGTTAGAACATTATGTTTAGCTAAAAGATCATGAGTAGGTAAGTTGTGGTAGTATTGCGAAGCTACATTTCTCACACAATTATTTAGATGCATATTTTTAGAAGAAGTACTTTGAGCTGTATAAAGCAAACCATTATTCCTGGTCAGTGATTTGTCTGGATTGTAGAGGGTACAGTCACACGGTGCAGTCAAAGATGATTCACTTGGTGTTGTGTAATTTCCACTTTGTTCTCCAGCCTCAAGACTGTCGAGGCTTAACACGCTTCCTGAATCATCTGTTTTCTTGACTTCTTGATGAAAATTCTGAAATACAGGCATAAAACCAGACTGTTACATTTAACAGGAACAATTTTTTGCTGATACTATTTTTTTTTTCATTAATGACAGCTTAGGCTAAAATACAATCAATATTGAGCCTGATGTTTTTACAAATTCGGGTCATAGCACCATGAATGCTTCCATCAAGTCAAAATTTACCCATGTTCAATTGCAAAAGGAAATGACGCAGTTTGGGGATGACATTCAGAGGAAAGAGCTGCATAAGTTTAACAATTATAATTGTAAGTTTTATATAAATTCTACAATATCAAAAAAGAAACAAGATTTGTCTGAACAACACTACTGTTTCTGGATTGCCCTATGACACAGGATGCACTCTGTGTCATCTTGTACTCTATAAGGTTATGTAAGCGAGTTCACAAAATAGAAGAGAATACATGAAAATCAGGGCAGATTTGGTAGTGGGTCTACCCCAAACTGGAACTTTTCCATAATACTAGACTGAATATGATTATTTTCATACGAAATGTCACAAGTGATGAAGATAAGCCTTGTCTTGGCAAACACAGAAAATACCTCTCAGCTATTATAATCATAGCGATTAACACCTCTCCGCAGTGAAACCCCTGCTTCTCATCTTTTGGAAAGAAAGAAATACCATCTGATCTAAGAAGACAGATTAGTTGTAAGGGCATGTGGGAGTCCCACCCACTCCCCCAACTTTGTTGAACTTTAATGCAGTGATGAATAAGAGTAACTGGTGCCATCTGAACCACCACTGGGACAACATTATGTAGGTACCATACAGGCATTTTCTTCATTATTACTTCTCCACCCAAACACTGAGATGCCTGACCCTGTTGAAAATACATGGCTTTGAAAGTACAAGATTTCAAAATAGAAATAAACATAAAGGAAAACAAGCATATCAACTATTTTCACAATCTCATACACTCTTGCGAAAGTTCACTTCCACAGAACTCATTTTAAAGCATATTTGAAAAAAAAAAGTCATGAGGAGCTAAGAGAAGCTGACTTAGGTATGCAATATTATACAATAAAGATTTCTTATTTTCATTAATGACTTGAAATGGAAAATGTTTCAAGTAGCAAAATCTGTTAACCTGTTAGGTAATCACTTATCTGTTAGGTAAGTGATTATATATCTGCTAGTAATTATGATAGAATTAACACTTAGAAAACTTACCAAAGACTGCGTACAGTTCGCTAGTGAATAAGAACATATTTTCATAGTAAACATATTTTTTAAAATTCTAATAAAATTGTTAGACCATAATATTGCATAGTTCATAGCTGTACAAATATTTTAAATTGTAAAACAAAAAGCTTAGTGAGTCCTGAAAGACTTTTTATGGTTGAATTATCTCTTATCTTGCACTAAATGTTCAGAAGGTGGTGAAGTCTTCTATTAGAGTTACAATCTGATATAAAGAAACTAAACAGAAGAACAAAGAACCAAGTGTAGGGAAAATTACCTTTAGGGAACATTTTCAAACTAAAGGTACAAACTTGTGTCTTCCTAACAGAAAAGAATAAATAATGTTTTGTTAGTTATTTAATAACCTTTATGTTTAGCTAAATTATATTGTTAAACTCTGCTTGAACTTCATCAAACAAGGAAAAAGCATATGTCCAGTTTTCTGTATCAAGCAAATTTAAGAACTAACTGAAATTTTCAGATGGGAAAAGAACAGTAAAAAGAAATTCTTGGTGTCAGGCTCACTTGTTGTCTAATTTGGAAGCTGCCCCTGCATAGCTAAATGTGTTTCTAAAATTTGCAAGTTAAACAGGGGAAAAATCTTCTAAGGATTGATTTTAAGAATCCTGTTCCACTAGCAGGTTAGCTTAAACTGGTAAATATGGAGGGTACAAGAAATGTTAAAACTTCTAAAAATTAAGATTAAAAAATTCTACCCATTTATATTTCAGAGGCTGAAAATAGACTTGATCCTGCATGATATAAAATTTTACTCTCCTTTTAAAACAAAACCCAATGGCAAGACAAAATCTCAGTTGAGGCAACCTCCAGAAGTGTTAGGAACTAAAGAATAAAGGATTCCTCATTTAAAGACAGTCACTTTTACTTAGTTCATGCAAATTTAGTTCATTTACATTTATTTTGTTGTCTCATACAATTTCACCTTTTCATGCATTAAAGATGTTTATCATTCTCATTAAAATATTTACATATATTATTTGCCTTTCTATCCTCCTCTGTAATGAAAATGAATGTCACATTTTCTTGAGGAAATTCATAACTAGAACTACTTCTGCAGACCTAAAAAAGCATTCAAGAATTATTCATTTTCTAGTGATCAATAGCTATAGGGAAATAAACCTGGAAATCCCAATGATTAAATTAGATTCAATCTGTGAGAATATTCTAGGAAACAAAAACTTTCATAGAGTGTATTATCTTTCCATTTTCTGGATTTGCTTATTTTTTGTGTGATACAAGTACAATTATTTCCATTGCCTGTTGCCTGCATTATTTTATGTCCTACTGCATGAAATCTAAACCCAGCCTGCTCACATACCTGGTATTCTAGGAAAGGGAACACTTACAAGTAGTTGAAGAGGTCACTTGTATATCTCAAGACTTAGAACAGCTGTGTCAAGCCATTTCATTTCAGGAAAGCACTGAGAAAGGACGAGCCTAAGAAATCTTTCATGACACCAATGAAAGAACAACACTGCAACAAGTAAAATTTTAAGAAAACTTGACAAGTGAATTTTCTGCCAAAGGACTCTGTCAGGATGCTATTACGCTAAAGAGCTGCTATATGTATATTTGACATTTTCTGCAAAAGAAGTGCTGAGTGTTCACAATTCCAGGAGGTGAATGGGAACACTCTTCTGAAGATAAATGAAGAAAAACAATACCTATACTGAAAACCCAGGCCCCTCACCTTTCACACTGCTTGCTATTTTTGATCATTTTGACTGGTTTATTTGGAGGAATTTTTGTGTGTTATATGTGTGTGTATAGGATGTTATATTTCAGATTCCTTGCGAAGTAAAAGATACCAATGGCATTTTTAAGATAATTAATTATATTAATTAATATATAATAAAAATTACATGAATAAGTTATACTAAATGTAAATAAGTAAGCAAATAAATAAATACTTTTTTTTCTATGCAAGTTTCGAAAACGTGATGTACATGGCACTACACAGTATTGATTTTACAGAAGATTTGGCCAAGAAAGCAAATGCCACTCAGAAAGGATTTTAGTGATTATATTGCACAAAAGATCCATTATACTGTGCCAAACACACCAAAACAGTTATAGAGGTGTAGGATGACTAGAGAAAAGCTTCCTATCAACACCCCTAGTCTTTACTGCCAGGTACTTCATTCCCCGCCCAAGCTATCTAAGGTACAGAAACTAGCTATCTATGAACCTGAGTATTTCAAAGGACCCAATTCACATCTAGGGTGCTAGAAATACAGGTTCAAACTTCTTGGGATGAAAAGAACTCAAGTTTCCAATCCCATAGGCACTCAGGCACTTCAGTGAGCCATACTGTACTGAATGATTTTAAAAGTGATCTGAACACTCTATCTCAGTGTTTCAAGTTCTGACTTCCAGTTTTAATGAAGTCCTCAGGTAAATGTACAGAACTCTGTAGGAAGCATGTTTTCAGCTAACCGGTTCTCTCCATTGCTTTTTATTTATTAATTTAGCATCTCAGTGCTCAGGTGCTGCTTCTCAGGATCTCTGTTTCAGGTGCCTGAGTCTCACAGACTAACCTAATCATTCACGACTGGAGTTCATAACGCTAGTTTTCAAATACTATTAGAATTATTAAATGATTAAATGTTGAAGCAGAGCACCACAATGTATTTGTCCCTTTTTTGTTTCTAGCCCATTAATAAATTTCTTTTGAGCAGGCTCCATCCACCCCGCAAATTTGATTGATGTGGTTATGTAAAAATAGTATGGGACTGTAAAATTGGAAACTGTCATAAGACAAAAAATGGAGAAAAATTGGGCATGCATATGCAGTATTAATTCTAGAAGTTCTTAACTGCTTAACTAATAATCATTTTAATGTTATATATAAAATCCAAAGACATAATTTGATGAGAACTTTCATAGTTATTTACAATCTATGTTATGTTCAATGTCATTTTGGCTATCTGAAAAAATAAGAATGGAGATCAGGTAAAACTTACCCATTTTCACCTCTTTGAAATTTGCAGGTTATAGGAAAAATGATGTTTTAAAAAATATTTCATAGATGAGGCTGTGTCTAGATGTTACTTGAAAGACAGAAATGAAATGGAAACATTTCTCAGAGACTTTTTTTTTTCCATTTTAAAACAAATAACTAATCCTCTCACTGAAGTTAAGGTCTTAATGAGGAGACTCAAAGCCCTGAAATTATCCTTTTCAGAAAAGTTTTCCAACAAAGTCTGATTTATGGGGGAAGAGGTTAAGAATAACTGATGAAGGAAACTATTTCTTCATCTTCTAGAATCAGAATCTGTCTTCCCAGTTGATTCTTATTCACAAATACACAAATAACAGATTGTTGGCAGATTTGAATGAACTGGAGCTGTTGCATCAGAGAAAAAACCCAACAAACTATTTGACCAGTACATCCATCCTGAAAGACCCAGAACCATGCAGTGTGTGAATGTAATTTAAAAAACAATCCCTAGTTCAGCCGAGGGACTGCCCTAGCAGATCTCGCAGACTTGCTGAAAAATTAGTAAACATTTCTTGCAGTCTATAAAAATGCTGACTTTTAGCAATGTAAATACATTGTGAAGGTAGAACAGTTTTAACATCTTTCCGCTCTTATCTTATGCACTGCACAGCAGCAACCAAAGCAGAATGTGGATTTATACTAGGAAATTCTAAAGGTCAGATACAGAAATACATTCAGAATCACAAAATAGCTTGAGTTGGAAGGGACCCACAAGAATTATAGAGTTCAAAGCCTGCCTCCACACAAGGCAACATTAAACTATACATCTAAAAGCATTTTCTA